AGGGAGTGCTGCCCAAATTTTTGCTAATTCAGGGAGTTAGACAAAATTGGACTTTGAGAAGTCAAAGTTACTTTTAAATTCTGGACTTGACCTTGTATAAATTTTGGAATAACACTTTTCTAAAGGGAGTGTTGCCGAAATTTCTGCAAAACTAAGGAGTTAGTTAAATCTTGTTTAAGTTGAACTCAAGTTGTCTCTTGAGTTCATATCTGACTTAGCATAAATCTGGGAAGTCTCCCTTAGCCTACGTGAGGCCAGTCACTGAGCCTAAGGAGGAGACACCCATAGACCCTTCTATTGCCAAGCTGCTAGAAGAGTATAAAGATTTAGTTAAGCCGCCTACAGGAGTAGTGTCGCGACCGATCCAGCATCGCATAGAGATAAAGCCTGGCAGTAGGACTCCTAAGGGAGCGATTTACATAATGTCCCCAAGGGAGTTAGAGGAGCTATGTAAGAAGTTAGGCGAGCTCCTTGAGAAGGGTTGGATTAGGCCCAGTTTGTCTCCATTTGGAGCACCTGTTCTCTTTGTCCCCAAGAAAGAGGGAGAGCTCAGAATGTGTATAGACTAAAGGGGTCTCAATGCTATTACAGTTAAGAATGTAGAACCGTTGCCCCGTATACACGATTTGTTGGACCGGGTGCAGGGCTGCAAATACTTTTCGAAGATAGACTTGAAGTCCAACTATCATCAGATAGAGGTTCATCCAGATGATCCGTACAAGACAACATTCCGGACTCGATATGGGTACTACGAGTTTATAGTTATGCCCTTTGGACTAACCAATGCGCCAACAACTTTTCAGCGTCGTATGAATGATTTGTTTAGGCTGTGGTTAGACAGATTTGTGGTAGTGTACTTAGATGATATCCTAGTGTTTAGTAAGACCCTCCAGGAGCATGAGGGTCATCTGAGGCAGGTCTTGGAGAAGCTTAGGGAAGCTAACTTCAAGATCAATGCAAAGAAGTGTGAATGGGCCGAGACACAAGTGTTGTACTTGGGCCATGTCTTAGATGGAGACGGCATTAGACCTGAAGATAGTAAGATTGCAGCGATTAGAGACTGGCCAACGCCCCGAACATTGACAGAGTTGCGGTCGTTCTTAGGCCTAGCTAACTATTATAGGAAGTTCGTCAGGAACTTTTCTACCATCGATGCACCACTTCGCAGGTTGCTAAAGAAAGAAGCAATCTGGAAATGGGACAAGGACTGTACAACTGCCCTGAAAAGATTAAAGCAGGCCCTGATAGAATATCCAATCCTTAAGGTAGTCGATCCGTCTCTGCCTTTCGTTGTTACAACTGGCGCAAGTCAGTACGGCATAGGTGTTGTTTTACAGCAAGACGATGGCAATGGATATAGCCCCGTAGAGTTCATGTCCGGGAGGATGCCTTTAGAGAAGGTGGCGACATTCACCTATGAGAGGGAACTCTACGCTCTCAGGCAAGCATTAGATCACTGGAAGCACTACTTGTTTGGGAGATTCTTCAAAGTCTATTCAGACCACGAGACTCTACGGTGGTTGAAGACACAGGCCAAGATGACACCTAAGCTTACTAGGTGGGCCGCAGAGTTAGACGAGTATGACTTTGAGCTCAAGCCAGTCAAAGGGAAGTACAATGTAGTAATGGACGCTCTGAGTAGGACAACTGATTACTTTGGGGCGATAATTCACTATCTGTATATAGGGAGAGACCTGCAGCAGAAAGTTAGAGAGGCATATACACAGGACCCTATCTATAGTGACCTCCTCAAGAGAGTTAGGGAGGCCCTAGAGTCTGAACCAGACTACCACACTACTGATGGCTTATTGTTCGAGAAGACAAATGTAGTTGATCGCCTCTGCGTTCCTAACAGTGAAGAGATCCGTAGCCTGATCTTAGGGGAATGCCACGACACAGAGGGACATTTCGGTTGGCAAAAGACACTAACCAACCTCATGCACGCGTATACCTGGCCTGGAATGAAGGCCGACTGCATAGAGTATGTCCGCAGTTGTAAAGCCTGTCGACGAAATAAGACTACTACGCGAGAACCTCTTGGTCTTCTCAGACCTTTGCCTATTCCTGACAGACCCGGAGATTCTGTGTCCATTGAATTTATGGACACTGGGGTAAAGAGTAGGCATGGCAAAAGTCAAGTCATGGTCATAGTTGATAGGTTTAGCAAGTATTCAGTTTTTGTTCCTTTGCCTGCGGAGGCACGCACAAATTTAGTAGTCTAGAGGTTCTTTGACCATTGGGTCAGTGAGTATGGTATACCACTGTCGATAGTTAGTGACAGAGATACGAGGTTCACCAGTCAAAACTGGTAAGAACTAATGAAAGTCTATGGCTCAAAGTTGTTGATGTCATCTGCTCGTCATCCTGAGACTAACGGCCAGATTGAACAAATGAACAAGCTCCTGCAGCAAGTTCTTAGAATGTATATTAGGCCCGGCCAAATCAACTGGGATGAGATGCTCCCTAAGGTAGCCAGCGCATATAATAATAGCGTGCACTTATCTACGTGTCGCACTCCCAAAGAACTGCACAAGTCCTTTAGACCACGCAGACCGTTCGAGGGACTCAACCGGGATCAGATTCAAAGGCTACCGCCCGGTACACGAGAGTTTGCAATACAACACGAGAAAGAGATAGCTACCGTTGTTGACAACCTCAGGAAAGCCCAGCATAGGATGATAGAGCAAGCTAACAAGCACCGTCGCCCCTCACAGTTTCAAGTAGGCGACTTAGTCTGGGTCAAGTCAAAAGAGTTTGCTCCTGAGGAGAACATCTCACAGAAGTTGTTACCTGCATATAGAGGACCGTGGCCAGTCCAAGAAGTCAAGGGCGGAGAGGATGGACCGTCCTATACTATCGAGATTCCAGCACACCTCCACACCTACCTAGTATTCCATGCGTCAAAGCTATTGCCTTGCGTCACAAGTCAGCAGTTTCCATCGCGCAGATGCATGATACCTCCAGATATGGACGGAAGGTACGACATTAATGGTATAGTAGGTGAGGATGTCTTCAAGACAGGAGGTAGAGGTCATGGACAGAAACAGTATAAAGTTAGGTTCTCCTTTTAAGAGCCAGAAGACGACCGCTGGTTTACGCAAACAGAACTTCTAGAGACAGCTCCCGACATAGTCAGAGCCTACGAAAGAGATAAGAAGGGCAAAAGGTCCTGCCTTAGACTAAAATATTCTCGGAGGACCTCGAATTTAGGCCGGCAGGAGTGAAACGGTTTTCACCTTTCCGCAGTCACAGATGCGGGCACTAGAGTTCGATCCCCAAACGTTACCTTGCCCATGTACAGTATCGAGTTGACCCCCGAGTGTTTGAACTCGTGACCTGTATTTTGGTAGTTGTTTGATGTCTGTCGTAAGTATGTGTAGTTGTAGGGGTTCGATCTGTGGATCTGATGAGTAGGGGTCACAGCCTTGCAGAGGACGTAGCCGTAGGTGCTCTGAGAGGTCAAGGTCGTAGCTGCTACAGTGTTCGAAAGGCCAAGACCACAGACTTCCGGAAGGTCCGGAAGTGGCCTTTCGAAGTTGGCTCACGTTTAGACAGAGGCAAGTGGGCAAGTGGTGAGACCAACTGCGTTACGTCGGCAGTGCGACTGCATCGAATTGGCAGTGCAAACCCATGCAGTCAGCGGTACCGGTCCCCGTCATTCACAGTCCAGTCAAGAAAGTACCGTGTGGGACTGTGTGCACCAAGGGCATGGGAAAGAGGCAGACCAACGAGTTACAGAAGTATAAATCAAGAGGCAGTGCTCAGCCATTCATTCATTCGCTGCATAAGCCATGCGGAAGCACTGCTACAGCGTCTTGTGCGAAGGTGGTCTGCAGGTTGCCTGAAGACAAAGTGGGCTGAGAAGTGATCTCGTAGCCATAGGCAGTAGGGGTAGAGCGGCCATAGCCGCGATAGGTTAGTGAGTGTGTGTGGTGGTATTCAGGGTGATCCAGAGTTGAGTTGAGTATGTGCTAACAGTGGTGTTGAACGAAGTGACGAGAGTTGTGATGTACAGGCGCTGATGCRCCATAGTCTGTTGAAGCGAGTTTACATCTGAACTGTGTTCTCGGTTGCCATATCTCTGAGCTTGGTGTGGGCGCTGTGCGCCAGTGTGAGTCGCCATCTGTTTGCATGTATGCGAAGTGGAAGCGAAAGCGAGTCTGATTGCACAAAGAAAAATAACTCAAGAAAGCGGAAGATAATGAGCTTGAAAACTAGGCTACCAGAGGTTCCCCAGCTATGTAAGAACTCTGGGATTCTTTGTTTGTCTGTTTGTTTGTTTTTCGGGTTAGTAGGGCTTTTCTGCGGCCATCGAAAGCTGCCTGAACCCGGGTTCGTTTATGTTTTCCAGGGTTGTCCGTTTGACAGGGGGGGGGGGAAGGGGGTTAAGGGGGGTATAAATGGGGCTTAAGGAGCTTAAAGAGGGGTAGCGTTAGTAAGATTAAAAAAATATATATATTCTCTCTCTCTTTTTTTTTTTTCTTTTTTTTTTTTTAATTTGGACCATTTCTCGATTTATGCGTGTCATCCTTGCGCAGGGGCCATGCTAATCTTCTCTGTATCGTTCCAATTTTAACGGATGTCCCGAAGGACATATATATTCTCTCTCTTATTCAGGATGAACCTCTAAAGTGACCCTCAGCCAAAAGTTGATTGCATTGCAACTCTACATAACGTAGTCTTTTTTCAAACTTTTTTTGACTTTTTTTCCAGATTTTTTTTTTTTTTTTTGGGAGCCGCGACTGCTTAGGACTGCACCCGGAGGTCCTGCCCCGCTGGGCAGCCAGGCTTGAGTATGGGCAGAAAAAATTGTGCCCGGGCGCATGAGAAAACAGCCCAGCTTGAAAATTAGAGCTTTCATTAATGAAATCCATGAATGTCATTTGAGAAACAGACAAGGACAGAGGTCACAGAGCAAATCAGTTTAAATAACTCAAGTACATAATCTTCAATTGGATGTGGGGAAATTCATCGAATGAGGACCGGAGCTCCTTACTGACCTGTTGAATGGAATGTCAACTGTTACCCATTCTCCCCGAACGGTGTCAAAGCTTGCTTCGTAGTCGAAACCACCCTCGCTAGTCTGACATGTTTTTACAAAAAGTTGGAAACCAACCAGCTTACAGTGTCAAAAGCTTGCTTCTTAGCTAAGACCACCCTCGCTAATCTGACATGTTTTCACGAATAGTTGAAAACTTAAAAAGTTAAAAAACAACCAGCTTACAATGTCAAAGCTTCCTTCATAGTTAAAACTTAAAAGTTAAAAACACTCTCGCTGATCTGAAATGTTTTTACGAAAAGTTGAAAACCAACCAGCTTACGGTGTCAAAGCTTGCTTCGTAGTTAAAACCACCCTCGCTAATCTGACATGTTTTTACGAAAACTTGAAAACCAATCAGCTTTAAATTCTGAAACTGTCGGCTAATAATTCAGTCAAAGTTGTGTCAAACTGAGCATCATTAATTAATGCTTATTAATTAATTGATTGACTCCGGTGTCAATCTGAGTTGTTGTCTCCGGAAGTCTTAAAAAACACTTAAACAAAATGGGGTACAGCCTAGCAGAGGTGACATTGGTTGCTGCCATTGTTGTTCCTGATTTAAACACTAATTCATCCAACAAAAGAGAAAAATCATTGACATGAAGCTCGAAGCAGATTCAGAAGATGCAGCAGCACAGGCCACAAAGGCAGCAAAGGCCACAAAGGCAGCAAAGGCCGCAAAGGCGGCAAAGGCCGCAAAGTCAGCAAAGCCAAACAGTATTGTGTGTTTTGCATTGGTCCATGAGATCAAGACGCCATCATCTTTCAAATTTCGTTTGGGCAATGCGACGAATGCGTGAGTGGGTATACGATGTAATACTGTTATTTTGACTTGCCGGGGGAATAGGAACCGGACTGACGCTCCCCAGAATGGATATGGAGCCAGGACCATAAGGACCTGTTTTTCTTAAATAAATAAATTAAAAAAAAAAAAAAAACAAAAAAAAAAACCGTGTATCGGACTATATCCGCAGGACTGGCACGGCCTGAGTTAAAAAAGGCAATTGAAACACAAGTCGACAGTTCAGACTCCAGACAGGCGCGGTACTTTGTAATGGCAGGGGCGTGCCGTGGGGTGCAGAGGGCCTGAGTTACTGCTATTTTTTTCCCTGTTTTCACCCTTTTGAAAAAACCGAAGCCGTGACCACATTTGTTGCCTTTTGAAACTGAAAACCTGACGCAGCTGCAGTTTTTCAGAAAGAAAACCATCACCGATTCACCATCTCTTGAACACACAGAAAGAACTGCAGCCCGCATGAAATCAGACATTGTTTCTCTCTCCATAACAACTGCTGTTGTACAAGACACAGAAAAAAAACACAGCACTACACGCTACACAGTGTACACACACATAACTGCTGATAACCAGATCTAGGGATCAAAACCTGGTGGGCAAACAAACAAACCAGGTTTGTGGCTTCTCCCCCTCTTCGGATTTCAGAGAAAAACAAAGAACACTATCATCTCTCTTGAACACACACAAAGTACCACCCCTGCATAACTGCTCTCATCACATCACAGCATATCAGCAGCCAAGTAGCCGTAGCAGCAGCAGTAGCAGCAGCAACACTGGGAGTTTTGTCCTGCAATGGAAACTTCTCAAGGACCAAATGACATTCCAAACGCTTTTTTTTTTCTTTTTTTTTTTTGTGTGTGTGTGGGGGGKGGGKGKGGGGGGRGGAGARGRGGAAGGAGGGGGGGAGGAAGGGGGGACATTTTTTCGCTCACAAGTTGACACCCACCCTGTTTTTCAGGTACATCGTGTATCGCTGTCCATCACCTCGCGCCGTCATGGTGATCCCGTCATATGGTGCCAGATTCCTGGGGCCTCCAGGAATGTCAGCAGCCCTGCAAGGGAGTATAATGAATGAAAAATGACAAGACCCCATGCTGCTTACACACTAGAGGGGAAATAACATAATGATCCCCCGATAACATACATCCAGAAGAAGATCGTGATGAGAAACGCCATGGAGGAAGGAACAGAACTGAGAATTCTTCAATTTGTGCGTTATGTATGAGAGGGAAGAACAAGCTTGTCGAATGGATCCTTCACTTGACAATCTATGAACAGTGCGCCATGGCATCATGCTAGACGTTGCCATATACGCCAAATATAGAAGTAAATATGATCTGATTTGATTCTGATAATAATAAGTGACCTTTTTTTTTTTTTTTTTTTTTTTTTTTTTTTAACACAAAAACAGGTCCCTTATGGGCCGGGCTCCTTATCCATTCTGGGGAGCATCATCAGTTCGGTTATTACTATTCCGGGTATTCCCCCGGATACAACATTGACATCAATTACGGTTCCTTCCTTTCGGCTGAAGGATGCCTGACCAGCATTAATTGCTCCAATTGCTTGGAGAGATTAACCGTCAGCTTGCCTGTCATCTGTGTAATTCCCCTCACTTGAGGCCATCGACCCACGAGATCGACATAAGCATTGGAATGAGACGAAGACGAGCAAACGCTAAGCCTGCACATTCCCTCGCTGACAGATAACATTAGCCCCACTATTTACATCTCATTGGCCCGACCCAACCGGTGGTGGTCCGCGGTATCCTCCCATCTGCCTCATAGTCTTTTTGTTAGGTCACACCGCTTGCATCCTGTGGTACAGGCTGTTGGGTAATCTACTCATCTGCACTTTGTGGGCCGCTTTGAAGTTGTGCCGGTCCTTCCATCTGAGAATTGCAACCGCTGAACTCGGCCACTTTGCCTCTCTTGCCAACCAGACTTTCCTGAATTAAGTCTGAGCTGCCTGCTGTGTGTGTCTGGATTGCTCTGCATAAAGAGCTTGACTTTGCGTAATTCGCGTGGGATTTCTGCTTCAATTAGGCCCTTCGTCGATGGTCAAACTTGGTCACGTGGCGTGATGGAGTTATCAAGGGTCCTGCTGCATCTCTTCTTCCATATGATCCCAGGCGCTGTCTTGTGTATCATTCCAGACTGGACTCGTTCCAGTTTGCCGAAGCGAGGGGGACTGTTAGTCCATAGGAGTAGTTGGATGGGATGTTTTGGTGGGGGGGAGGGGGGGAGATAAGGAAATAGGTGGTCCCATTGGTCGGAGGTCTTATCCCAGTATTCGGTTGCCTCTTGCATCTGTGATTAAGCAGTGTGACAAATCTTTCCTCTTTGTTGTCTGAGCAGAGTACACAGATATCTGAACTGTGTGGGTAATCCTTTTTTCTTCTTATGTCTAGCGAGTGATTTACCGGTTCTGCGGCGTATGAAGTTTCAAAACAAAAAAAAAAAAAAAAATTCAAATTAGCCTGCAGGCTGCATGCTAACGTAGGCAGGGGTGAGGGGTGGTACATCCTTCCCTTGGGGAAAGAAATCAATGCCGCCTACTCGGGCCTCCCAGCCAATAATGGGGAGGAGTGTGCGTGAGTTTCTTTATGTAACTTTTTGACTTGCCGGTGGAAAGGGAACCAGACTGTCCCTCCCCAGAATGGAAAGGAGACAGAACCATACGGTTCTGCTGCTTGCGCTAACAAAAACAAAAACAAAAAAAAACAAAACAAAAAAAAGGTCATTCGAGGCTTCTTCTGATTTTCACTGGACGCATGGATTTGTATTTTCTCGTTGGAATCTTGGCCATTTGTTCTCCTCTTGGTCCAATTATTCTGGAGCATCTACATTTGATTGTTGGATCCGGGTCCTTTGTCTTAAGCAGCATTCTGGATCCCATTTTGACAGTGTAATCCTGTATCTGGGCAGAGTGTTTGGTTGTTCTGTTCTTGTCTGGTAACCACGTACAAGGAAAATGAGCGATAGTGAAATGACAGAAATCCAGAATGCAAATTCACATTGAAGGCCAGAAAGTCCAATGCTGTCCAGAAAGCAGAAATGTATTGATATTCACCAACGGAAAACCAAAGCACCGAATCCGAATGTCAATGAGAGCATACTCTCGCCATCACCAACACGTGTATCCAGAGCACATCCTCCTACTTGGCGCTCAGCACCCAGACTACTACTACACAGCTACTAGCATCCTACGAATTGACGACACATCCCGTAGATGTCAGCAGCAACAACCGATTCGGAAGTGCATGAAGATGTCGACCTTGTAGACTATCCAAGCTGGTGCCCGGCTATGAGGGCCCAGCTACGGTGCTGCCTTCTTGCAGAGCCCTCAACCCGAATGGCCACGCGCGCTCTCCACTTGCGCTAGCGCTAAGCATGCAGCCGCGAGCCCTTGCTCTAGCAGTGCTGCCACTTGCACCTCCAAGTGCCCGAATATCGATCCCGGCGCCCTGCCCTTTCCTATATGGAAAGCGGCGGGCGCTTTGCCTTGCTCCCCCGCGTGAGACCGAGTTTCCAGTAGCTTCAGTCTCCTACGGGAAGCGCTGCCGAAATTTTCTTAGTTTAGAAGAGTTAGATTATATTTCGACAGGTGGCGATTTTGGCGATCCACTCTATATAGGGAAGATTATGCCAGGGTCTACCTTTGCTTTGGGCACTGCTTAAAGGTAGGTTCAGGCTTAGTCAATTAGGAGGATTTTGGGTGAGAATGTGTTATGAAGTTGTATTCTCCATACACTTATGATTTTAGCTTGGGGATTTACATGTCTTGTGTTACAGGTCCTCTTGATCGTTTGATTCAAGTTTAGGACTAGATTCAACTTGATCCCTTGAGGATCATCTTCTGTTATCACTGATAACAGGTCGGTTGCCGATTCGTCGGTTTACGATTTAACTCCAATTCACTCCTGTCACTCAACCTAAAGGCTTTAACCTTGAGATTTGAACTGTTTTGTTGTGTTTTCACCCGGACTTTATTGAATGGTCATCCAACAAATGTACTGAGTATTTATTTGAGAGTTGCACGAGTGAGGCTTGTATGGCTAAAGCAAGGGGTATGAGTACAGAGAATGGTTGAAGTTGACCCCGTGTAGTGCGTTGACTTTTGGTTGAATCTCCGATGTGATTGCAGGTATGATTGTGGTTCGGGCTCTGGATGTGACTGCCTGCGATTACATGCATATATGGTTGAGAGGAGCCCCACAGTGACTGTGAGAAGTGATCGTCCTGTATAACCAACCCTCATATATTTATAAGTGCCCTGAGTGTTTGAAAGGCCAACTGTGATTGTGCATAAGGGTTATCCAGATTGTGTCTTGAGAGAGAAGGGGGGTTCTCTTTTTACCACTTGCTTTTTAGAGTTGTATGGTTGGACGTTGTAGTCCGTGGCAGCCGTCAAAGTCAAACCCCTTGACTTCCGCTCAGGCCTGGAGTGGGACTCATCTCCAGGGCACTAAGAAGCGACTGCCACCACATGTATGGACCTATGTACCACCCGCTCTGCACAGGGTGCAAAAGAGGGTGTGTGATCTTCAACCGCGCATGGCGGTTGTCCAACGCTGAGAGATTAACCCTCAAGGCGCGTGTCAGCCGACACTTGAGCGTCGAATGCGACCCTCGAGATTAACGAGGACCGCGCGAGTATGGGTACTACATAGTACGCCATCAATGTGACGGCTTACGCACGTTTGCATTGCGAGTCGATATGAGATAGCCCTGCGTCCGCGCGGTTTTATACTAAGTCTCGCGCGCGACGCCTATCTGATTTCCGCATCGGAAAGTTATGGGATGACTACTAAGGGACTAGGAGTGTTGTCGCGTTGTTCGATGTGTGTGTGTGTGTGTGCGTGTTTTATTGTTGTGTTCGTAAAGTGGTGTGCACGTGGTGTGTGGGATGCGTCCTAGTCGACCCACGTCGGGCCGCGCTTGGGACCTCAGCCCCCCGAGATGCCGGTTCGCGTGCGGGTCCGATAGGCGTATTACCGCGCGTACCCCCTATGCTACAGCGAACGAGAAACGCCCTCGGCTGGTCTGATTAGCTTTCGTACTGTGGACTGGTAGCTCGGCGGGGATACGCCCATCGAAGGGAGGTGACAGCTCCCGTAAGGTGGAGGTAAGTTGTGCCTCGCGTAGGCCCTATCCTGTCATAGGGGCTCGCGAGAGGTATGGCTGGCGCACTAGGCCGGAGCGGCTTGCGGAAGCTCCATGTACATTGCGACAAAGGATTTAAACCAACTCCTGCGTGACGCGGCCGGGAGGGTCCCGCGCTGCCCCGTGCGGTGCCGGACTGATGCGCTCGACACCGCCGCCATATTGCGAGAGAGAAAAGAGAAAGAGACTAAGGAGTTAATTAGACAGGCTAAGAAGTTGGCCTTACAGGAGGAGCAGGCGGTGAAGAGAAAGAAGTTAGAAGAGGAAATTGAGAGATTGAAGGAGGAGGAAGAGAAGATGAAAGAAGTAGACGAAGAGGAAATAGAAGAAGAAAAGGAGGAGGAGCCCCTGCTCCGAAGAAGCGCAGGGCAAAGAGGGGAATCGAGTGGCACAAAGAAGGAAGACTCCTGGATGGAGAAAAAGATTTATGAGTGGGTAGCGAATTCATCTCTGGGAGAAAAAGAAGCGATGTTGTATGTTACCCAGAGGAGAAGGAGGCAGTTATCAAGGAGTGGGAGGCAGAAAAGGATCCCTTAAGACGCCAGACAATCGAGGAGGAGAAAAAGTTAAGAGTGGAAACTGCGTCTTATGAGGGAGAGGAAAAAAAGGATGGATGAGGCGAGCCAAATAGCGAAGGAGTTGGAGGTGATTAAAGAGCAAAGAGCGCAGATCGAGGCACAAGCCGATATACAGGGGAAATTAGATATTATCTCTAGAAAAACATTGAGCTTCAAGCTAAGGCCTGGATGTGCAGTATCAGTTTTCGAGAGCCCAGGACATGACCTTACACTCCATACGTTAAGGCTTCAGAGATTTTGCACGTGAGATGATGCGGCACGTAGGTGCCGAAGTGAAGGCAAGGATAGAAAGCATTGAGAAGTTTTGCA